AAATACTTATCCAGATACAATCTCCAGTAAAAGTGGTAAGACTGAAAAAAGAAAGAGAAAAAAAAGCGTAAAAGCAAACTTATCTATTCAATAAAGTGCTCGAAACCCAAATTGCCTAGACCAAGCAAAAAACGCTTACTAATATTGACTCCCTATGAAAGAATGGCTCTTGCAATAATTCAAGTTTCATGCTCATGCAATCTTCAGTCAACTTGAACAAAAATAGAAGAAAGGAGGGGTGGGCTTTATATAACCCATGAATCACCCTAAAGCATCATGGGGTGTGGGGAAAGAAGAGATTTTCATTAGAAATAATTTTATTAAAAAACCTGTGGATCACCACACCTACACAGGGGAAAAAGAAAATAGACAAAGAAAAAAATCCTGTGGGTGGGTTAAACTACTAATTATTGTACTGTAGGATTGGGTTCAGTTGGAAAACACACACACACACACATATTGTTATACCATACCTATGGACAATAATGGGTGTGTCCCAATTCCTATAAATACAGTGGTATATACTGTATGTTGTCTTCCACTTGCAATTCACCTTGATCCTCTTCTAGCTCACCACGAGCAGTTGATTACTTATTACACACTGCTGGCAAATCTTGTATGTTGTTTCTGTTATAAATATTATTGTTCCATTTCCAACCTTCATTTTGGTTATTCTTATTCAGTAACCTTTTCCTAAGTTACAACATATATATATATATATATATATATATATAGGAACCCAACAAAAGAATAGGATAAGGAACAAGTAGGTAACAGGTTTTAATATAATGTTTCACTTTATTAAAGCATCATCAGAGTTCAAAATAGAAAATTTTATAATAAAAATTTAATAAAGTGAGACATGTTAGATTAAGATTGGTTTCCTACTTGTTCTTTATCTTATCATATCTATAAATATATACAAGAGAGAGAGAGAGCAATAAATAGATATATAGATAATGTGGACATGTGAATTTGTGGTAACTATCAGTCTCTGCCCTCAATCTTCAGACCATGAAAATTGCTTGAAGCTTGAAACTAACATATTATAGATCATATATATATCATTTGATCCCATGCAAGCCAGAGATGCCACTAGCATGCAAGGTTGTTACAGGAAATGAAAAGTGAGAAAAAAGACTGAGAATAGGGAGAATTGAGGAAAGGACAAAAGCTGAATGGGATACAAAAAGATAGAAGATGGTGATTGATGTTAAATTTTTGAAGATTATAGTTATCAGGGAAGCAAGTAAACAGAAGGGAGTTCCACAGGCAGGAAGTGCAAGAAAAAATAAAACTGTTGGAGTAGAAGTGGTGTTTGAATTTAGCTATTCAACAATAATCAAGGTGGGACCTAGATGCCAATCTAGTAACTCACTTAAATTCATATGTAAAGGGTGATTGAAAAAAAAATTCTCCATTTTAAAATACTTATAATTTATTTATTAACATTTTTACAAGAAATGGATATGCGAGGAAAGCGTTTATCATGAGATTTTATTTAAAATTTGATATGCACACAAGATTTTGAGACCATCATCTCAAGCTGCCCAGGAAGTATGCCAACTTATTTTACCAGGAACACTTGTGGTATGGACGATATAACATTTTGTATTCACCCTTGAAGTTCTTCCAAAGTCTTGGTTTGGTAGAGTAGATTTGCTCCTTAAATCAACCCAGAGTCAAAAAGTCAGCAAGTGTTAAGTCAGGACTCCTGGCTGGCCACTCATACATAATAAATATATATATATATATATATATATATATATATATATATATATATATATATATATATATATATAATATTATTTTTATTAAATACAATTTTATGTAACGCTCTTTTTATAATAAAAGTATTTAAGTAAACAGCTCTGTTTATAATAAACAGTATTAAATAAAAGAAAATTTAAAAAATACTTGTATTTATAAAAAAACGTTAAACATAAAAATTGTCTTTAATAAATAAATTGTATTTATCCATTTATATATATATATATATATATATATATATATATATATGTTAGTGAATTTTTGGATCTTATAAACCTAATGTCTTAGTAACCGTTTTTTATCTAATGTCTCATTTACATTTTTTTTTTTTTGCACATTGTTTTTGTTTTTGCCGATTACACAGTATAGTAGGGTCAGTTGGGCACTTTCTGTGAGAAAAAGACCCCCATGATGCAATTCACTCTCTCAGAAATTTGGTAACAGCATGCTGTACTGCTTTGCATTCATGCCAGAAGCTCCAATACAAACATTTCAAAGTTTCTGAGGACAATGCAGAGGATTTGGAAAGGGTTGGATGAATCGAATGGTGATTATGGTGGTGTTTGGAGGGACCAGTAGTGATGGTGATGTTATGCCTCCATTCATCTTCCAATAAGGCCTCAGACTCAATATGGAGGCCTACATCAAGTGGATTGAGGAGTTAGTGCTGCCCTGGGTCAATAGGGTGTCTGCTGGAAGACCCTGTGTCAGGCAATAGGACACTTCACCATGCCACACAATTCATGGTTGAGTGTTACTGTATGTGTCTGATAAAAACATAAGAGAGGATAAGGAGGCTAGATAGCAAATGACCCTTGACTTGAAGAGTTTAAGATTGTAGTGTTAAGAGAAATATCCATGCAGATGTTTGTTCTATAAAGCAGCAATTTTGGGTAAAAGCTGTCTGAGTGAAATCCCTCTCCTTAAGAATAGAATATGGGATAAATGTGTGTGATTCAACTCTGTGGATGTAACAGGATGAGTCCTAAAAATCCTGAATTGGTGGAACTCATGAGTAGAAGTCATCTGAATATTTGTACTTTTTGAGACCTCCTCATTGGCACAATGTCTAAAACTTTCATAGCTTAACAAAGACAAATGGTTATAATTTCTTCCTTAGAAATGAACACAGATCAATGAAATAAAATCAATTTTCTTTTTACCAATCTGTTCTCCCTAGTTACTGATCACTCCACATTCATAAATTAACATTATAATCTATAAATTAACATTATGATCCATAAATTAACATTATGATCCATAAATTAACATTATGAACTATTTTAAAGTTTGATGTTAAGCCTGGTCAGGACCTAGATGACTGACTGCTTGGGAATATCAGTTACTGTAAGCTTGGGTGTGTGGGTGGTGTAATGAATAATTACTTATAATTGTTAATCAGAGTTCTAATTCTCGTTAGGTTCATTATATTCACTGATGCACAAATACTCTTTGGAAAGGCCTGAACCTGCCAGCTATGGGTTAATTAGTAAGATTTGTGTCATTAAACCATTATTATCTAAAAAAAATTTACAGTCTAAAAATGTTTTCTGACTTTAAATAACCTGCAAAGGGTTAATAAACCATAAAAAATGAATCAACCAAATATTATTCAGACTCACAATTTGATACTTTGTCAAGTATTTTTAGAGCGCTACAGAGAACTGACCATTTTTCCAGCATCTTTAGCAAGGGAGCATATATATGAGTTCCACTTGAGGTCTGAGTTGAGCTCAAGTCCCATTGGGCACTCAAGGTTGTGGAAAAACTGAAAAGACTTACCAGAAATACTACTTAGTTTCAATAAGAAAATGAAAGAAAGATTAGAAGTGCTTACCGTCTCCTGCTAATACCTCCATAAATAATGGACTCTCTTGTTTTGATGTATGGGAAGATGGAAAAGACATATTAAAGATGCCATATTCACAACGTTTTGGCCGTTGTACACTCTGGCCTTTTTTAGGTGATTGCAATTTTGAACTGAACCCTCAAGGACACATGGCCCAGTGGATAAAGACGTTGGTTAGATCCAGTGACTAGACCCAAAGAGTTGTGAGTTCAATACCAGGCCACAGCAGTAGTGAATCAAACTTGGAGGGTTGAGTTAAAGGGAAATAAATGAGACATCCAGAAGAGGCATGGCATGGGGAACTAGAACAATCTACTTCAATGGACGAAATAAAAGGTTCGTTTGAAATTCTGATCACCTGAAGAAGGCCGAAACATACAATGACCAAAACGTTGTGAATCTGGCAATGAAAATGAAGATAATGGTCCAAATAATGTAAATAATAATAATACCTCATCTCGAAGTATATATCTTCGAGATGAGGTATTATGAATATTTACATTATTTGGACCATTATCTTCATTACTTCTTAAAATAATGACCAGCATTAAGCTTAAATATTTAAAGATGGGATAGGGGAATTTTTAAGGATGTTTTATTGTCATAGAAAGTATTTTTAGAGCGGTACAGAGAACTGACCATTTTCCCAGCATCTTTAGCAAGGGAGCACATATGAGTTCCACTTGAGGTCTGGGTTGAGCTCAAATCCCAATGGGCACTCAAGGGTGTGGAAAAACTGAAGACTTACCAGAAATATTACTTAGTTTCCATACAGATGTTTGTTCTATAAAGCAAAAGTTTTATTGTCATAGAAATTGCCATGAGCTTATTCAATCATTAACTTAAGAATTAAGATTCATCAGAAATTTAAAATGGAAAAACTGAAGTTTTCATGGATACTTCTAGTTTTATAAATTGGAAAAACATGAAGTGGTTTATCATGGAAGATGCATTATATATTATAGATACTTCTAGCATATTATAGTTGGCATCCATTTATCTCTCAAGAGTATTACCTTTTTTGCTCAGAATTTCATCATTTAAAATTAAACAATGTCACAGAACTATTTTAAAAATGAAGACCTGAAGAATTCCATTTAAAATAAGTTTCAGGGGTTGATTAATAAAAAATGTAAATTGTTATTTGTTCAAATTCACTGATTATTGATTGATTTTTTTTTTTTTAATTTAAAACATATGCTCATGTATCTAACTTTGATTTGTGAAAATTATTTCCAGTATTTATAAGAACTGTAAAAAGATTTCCTTTGTGTTTGTTAAATACTGTTGTCATTTTGGCAAAAGACGTAACATACCTTCTGAATAACCAGCACAATATGATGGAGATGAATTGCAATTCTTGTCTTTTTGTTATTTTTAGGATCACTATAAGAAAGACGATCTTGCTGGGGAAGGAGACAGCAAAGATTCACCAACTCACAAAGTGAAACCATCTGAAGATACAACAGGATATGGAGCCATTCCAAATGTCAAACCCAATTCAGGTAGAAGTATTTTTCTTTTTATTTTTTTTATTATTTTTAGTCAAGTTCACTCCATGCAAGGCACTAAAGCCACTAAGACACAAAGGGGGTTACTGGATGTAGAAGAATTAGAAAACAGAAACTTTACTAAGAGACAAGCACAAAAGAAGAGTAATCAAGACAGCAGTTGACATTATATTTAAATTTTTGAAGATCAAAGTTGACTGGAAAGCCTGGATCCAGAAGAGAATTCCACAAGCAAGAAGTGTGAGAAAAGAAATGATTAGCATAGAACTTATGGCTATATCTAGCCAGCTCAACTGTAAAATTGAGATCTTACTGCCAAGCTAGTACAGTGCTTAAATTAAAAAAACTCTAGGTACCATAGCAAAGAGCTCATCTGAAAAATTGCAAGAAAGTATTTATAAAAAAAGGTACAGAGATCGAACCTTACAGTGGTGGGAAAATGACTGAAGCTGAGACACTAGATCAGGACTGATAATAATATTACTGATTCTTCTTTGGGTCCTGTCACTGGATCTAACCAACACCAAAGAGTGTGAGTTCAATACCCAGTTAAGGCAGTGGAGAATTTGGAGAGGGGAATTAACAAGAGATAACTGATACATGATATCCATTAAACATGGTACATAGAACTAGAACAGTCTACCCCAGTGAGCAAAATAAAGGGTTCAGTTCGACATTCCAACCACCTGAAGAAGGCCGGAGCGTACTACAGCCGAAACATTGTAATAAATATGGCAACAAAGATGAGGACAATAGTCCGAATAATGTAAATAGTATACTTTTTTTGGACAAAAATATTACCAGCAATAAAAATCTTGTCAGCATTAAATAACCCATTGAGGTTAATATGCCGTAAAACCAAACCAAACCTGTTCTGGAAGCAGCTGCCAAAACCATTTGTGAATTAGTGTGAAGTGGAAGACATGAGTCATTTTTATATGAAACCAAGAGAATTGGAATGATGGCTCAACTCACCAGAAGTTCTTCATTACTTGGTACAACCAGAGAACGACAATGACTCAGTTGTATGCACCAATTGAACAAGAAGGTTAATTCAAATATGATATAAATATTGAAAATAAATTTAAAGATTTAATACAAACATTAAGTTTGTGCAAAAGCTCCCAGCACTCATTTTTTCCCCTATTTTCAAAAACTGAATATACAATAGAAAAATCATATTAAAAAATGCTGGAAATTTTTGCACATAAACAAATACATTATTTAATAATGACCTAAGAACCAGAAGAAGAGATCTTTCTCAAGAAATTTATTTGTTCTGAGTAATATGCTTTGTAAAAGCAAAGCATAGTATTAAGAAACTGAAAAATTTCATTAGAAACAAAGAAAAGAGTAATAAACTGTTATACGACATATGTCCTCCTATATGGCAATGAATGCTGAACAATCTCTTTGAAGATGAAGAGACTTGAAGCAACAGAAATATGGTTCTACAGGAGGATGCTGAGGATAACATGGACTGAACATATGAGCAATGACAAAGTTTTGGAGAAAATGAAAACAAAAAGACTCGTACTTAACATCAGAAAAAAACAGTTGAAATTTCTAGGGCATATAATGAGGAAAGAGGGTTTGGAAAATATGATACACACAGGACAGACTGAAGACAAGTGGGATGAAGGAAAACAATGCATAACATATTTAGCGAGTTTGAGTAAATGGATATTGGAACATGATTTAGGAGAAATAATAAAAAGACAATTTATTAAACTCCTACAAATCACAAAGTTCTAGAGGATTCTGAACATCCAATAATCGTAAGCTAATGACTTTTTTTTATTGTTTTGGTTCCTAGATGATCCAGAATACAATGCAAAGCATGCGAAAAAGATGGAGAAGGAGCTGAAGAAGATGGAGAAGAAAGAAGCCACATCCTCCGGGAAGATTGGCTTTCGTGCAACAGCAAAAGCTGCTTCGTTTGCTTCCAGGCTCTCGCCAAAGACGCAACGAAAGAAGGATAGGCTGTTGAGTGCTACTTCTCAATTGAAGGTTAGTATGGCCTAATGGGTTTGTGAATTTGGTGACATAGCGGTTGTGAGTTCAGTCCCTGGGTCAGGCAGTGTGTACTTGCACCTGGTGGAAACATGTGAGCAATAGTTGAACAGTACTAAATAAAAATAAGAACTCAACAATATCCCTAGACATGAGCAGTGGAATGAGAACTGTCTACCCCCATTGTAAATTAAAAGGGTTCAGTTCAGAATTCCCTATAGGTTACCCAGATTGATATACACCTGAAGAAGGCCAGAGGGTAGAATGGCTGAAACATGATAAGAATAATAATCTGAATGTAAATAATGCAAATAATAACTCCTCATCCCAGAAATTAAGACAAAAGAAGTGCATTCAGATGCACATATAAGCATGGAACCAGACAGACAGTCAGACATACACATATATATATATATATACACACACACACACACACACACACACACACACATATATATATATATATACACACACACACACACATACATATATATATACACACACACACACACACATATATATATATATACATACACACACATATATATATATATACATATACACACACACACACACACACACATATATATATATATACACACACACACACATATACATACACACATACACACACACACACATATATATATATATATATATATATATATATATATATATATATGTACACACACACCACTGGTTTGCCTTTTTAAATGTCTCCTTTTGTCTATTTATATTATAAAAAATAAGGTTGCATGCAAATGATCCAAATACAAATCCTTCTTACTCCTGTTGAAAACACCTCCCTCCCTGAATGACTGTGTCATCAGAGGTGTAACCATACTCAACAAGGTTGGCCAGTTGTGGGTTTATAAGGCTATTTAACCTATAACTGGAGGTTTTGAATTCAGAGTTGTCCTTCTCCTAGACTGGTTGACACCCAAGGGTATAGGTACTAGTCTGTGCTACTATTTTACCCATAGCTGGGGGAAGGGTAAAAGTGATGGATTCATACATTTCCCAAGGGTATTTGCATATAAATGGATGCAATAATCTCTACTAAAGTTTGAACTTAGCTCTCTGATTCCTCAATCTAAGTCATTATCCATTACTCTGCTGTACCTCCATACAAATATTAACAGATACACTTTCAGACCTGCTATTTTATATAAATAGCATTTCTTTGCGACACATACATACACACACACAGATACACACACACGTATATTTATAAGTAGACACTGAAATCAACACTCGGAGATGACTATGTTTCATGCTAAATGTCCTCTTTTATATTTACATACACTCTATCCTTAATATTGAGCACTTTAACCCATAAATATAGCATACATTAAAACTATATATATATATATATATATATATATATATATATATATGCATGCATGCAGCATATCTTCATTCAAGCATTCATTTTAACTTTTAAAATAATTATAACGGAACATGTTTCCTTTAATTTTTCATCTTAGCAATTCACTCCTGAAGATGATCTCAGATGGGATTGAAAGTACTTAAGAAAAGAAAAGAAAAAACTATGGTACCTTCCTTAATGAAATAATATCAACATTAAGAAGTCAGTCAAAGAATTTGAGAGGGTTAAAATAAAAACATATATATAATATATATATATATATATATATATATATATATGGCCACTTGTATTTGAGGATACCTGTCTATTAGGGTGGCTAGACAATCCCTAATGAAGATGCTCAGGTACATTTGTGTTTGTTCAACACCTACAGGGCCAACCTGTGGTTTATACTGCAGCTATGGAGAGAGTGTGTTATCTAGCATGATCAACAATCTGAACAAGGCCAGTACACTCAAACCCTCGGTCATGATGACTTGTGACTTTGTGCTAGCACAGCTATCAACAGGGCTTGGGTCAACTAGTGGTATGGTTTTCAGGCACTTTCCAAAGGTGCTGCACACTGGGATCATCCTCTCCAGACCAATAGCATCAAGAAGTCGTATTCCTGACAAATTAACCGTGGTGAGATTCGAACACAGGTCCCATGATCAGAAAGTGAACAATATAACCATATTTTATATATATATATATATATATATATATATATATATATATATATAGTGTATATTTAGGCAGCAATTTTTCATTGATGCATGTTTCATTAAATAATATAGACAAGTTTTGTCTATTTTAAGTAAGTTCCTTTCAGATTGTCTGATAAGCTTAATAAAATTATCATAAAAACAAAAACTAAAAATTCTTGAAGCTATATACATAACAGTTGAAACCTAACCTGAACAAAACAAACATTCTTAAATGCCTATAATTGATAACAGAAGCCATTGGTTTATACCAACGGCTTCCTATACTTAATACTTCTCATTTACACTCTCATGTGGTCATGTGTGACGTCACAAGCTGCAACACGATTTTCGCTTCTGCATCTCATATACACTAGTTAGTCGTTGCTTTGAAATTTTTCACGCAGCAAAAACGGACTATCATTGTTTCATCCATGTATTGGTTAATATTGAAAAGTAATTGTCATCTTTGATAATGACTTATGTAAGCTGAAAGCTTACATTGGATTTAAACATGTGATTTAAATATGGTGATTTCCTTTCGTCCTTCAATGACAATGTTATCAAGCTTATCAGACAATATGAAAGGAACTTACTTAAAATAAATAGACAAAACTTGTCTATATTATTTAATGAAACATGCATCAATATATATATATATATATATATATATATATATATATATATATATGTATATATATATGATTTATACAAATAAAATTTGTCACTTAACTGTTTTGCAATCATTCAGTCCACTTGTTAGGAGGTTAGCTTGGATGTGCAGGTGGTATAATGAATACTGGCTCGAAATTTGGAATTGTCTCCCCGATTTCCAATTCCAGTTAGGTTTGTTATATTCACTTACATGCAAATACCTTTAGGAAAGGTATGAATTCACCTCATCTCCTCCCAGGTATTGGTTAATTAGTGGAACTTGCATAAGTAAATCATTATCTCCAAAAATTTCTTACAATGCAAAAATATTTTTTGGCTAAAAGCTGATAAGCCATAAAAAAACACAAACCAATCAATAATTCAGCTGTGGAAGACTAAGAGTTTGTTCAGGGTATAACAGAGGGTAGTAGTCAACATAGACATATAGAGAAAACCAACATGTATGTGGAGTCAAGAGAAATAGAATGGTGGGAGAAATATTCCACAAATTGTCTCATTATAGTATTTGACAGTTAGTCTCTACTGCTGCTGGTTTTGTCATTGGCCAAAGGCATTGCTGTTCATGAAAGCACCTTGATCTCACTGCTGATGGCCTGGTTAAGCTTGCCTGCTGTGGGGTCCTTTGCTACTGCCAGCCGAGCCAGAGCTGCCTTTGTCAGTGAAATCAGTGTTGGTTTTATAGTCAGTCAGTGGCTTAGAAACAGCTGCTAGAAAAATTGCGTGGACTGTTTGTGATTAGTCAGAAAAAATGTTTTATGACTCTGGTATTTTTGGACAGTATTCAAGTGAATGCTGGACAAAATCAAGGCTCCTTTTTTTATATTAACTGTGGAGCACTTTCATTTGAATTAAAGAATTAAAGTCCGGACAGGACTCTTGTATATATAATGTAAATGCATTGTAAATGTTTCATTATAGAATGCATTGAAAATCATGGAAAAAATGCATTGTCCGTGGTCAGGAATTAATGCAAGCCTTACAGAGTAAGTCTGTAATATGATGTAAATGCATTGTTGGTGATCTTACTATGGAAATGCATTTAAGATGAGGAAGAAAAGAATTTCAGTACACAAGATTTAATGCAAGTATTGGTGGCAGAATATGGCTACTATATGTATAACGTAAAAGTGTTACTAATGATTTTACTATAGAAATGCATTGAAGATGAGAATTAGTGTTCATGTATTAATGCAAATATTACTGAGAGAATAGGGCTATTACATGTGTAGCATAGATATATTACGAATGATTTTACTCTAGAAATACAGTGAACATCAGGAAGAAAAGGATTTCTATGCTCTAGATTTAATGCAGATATTACTGATGGAAAGGGCTATATATATATATATATAAATATATATAAAAATGTTACAAATATTTTTAGGCTAAAATGTTTTTTATGTGTGTGTATATATATATATATATATATATATATATATATATATATATATATATATATATGGTGCGATGGGTAAATTGTCACCATTTTTATATTTTTAATTTTACACATGTGTGTTGTTTGTTTTTGATTTTGTTGACTACACAGTATAGTTGAGTCAGTTGGACGCCATCTGTGAAGAAAACAGCACCATGTTGGAAATGGAAAGCTGTACTGCTTGGCATTCATGGTGAAAGTTCTAATACAAACATTTCAGAGTGTTTGGGTTTCAATATGAGGACAAGGCATAGATTTCAGAAAATTTGGATGATATATCCAGTCAAAAACATGGTGTTTTGAGTGATCACAGGTGATGTTCTTTGTCTTTCTTGACCTGCCTCAGCAGTTCACAGTAGTTCTTCTGTCAGACTGAATGAGGTTATTAACTGATTCGATCACCTCAGGAGACCTCACATCTGTAGGCCTCCCAGGCCTGTCTTCATCCTCAACACTGCTCCATCCTTCTTTAAACAATTTAGCCCACTTGTAGACACTTTTTTGGCTGAAACATCTGGCACCATACACAGTTGACATTCTCCTATGAATTTCAACTGGTTTGTACCCTTCAGCAACCAAAATCTTGATAACTGACCACTGTTCAATCCTGGAGCATGCTTCTTGGTCAGCCATCTTTTGTTAATTGCCAAAACTCTGTTTTTTTTTTAATCTGCAAAAGAAATTAAATCCATGTGAAAAAGAAGTAAAACAAAAAAAAAGTTTAAAAAGTAAGCTTCTATCTGTATTAGAAGTCCATATACTGAAAAATTCACCTTATTTATTGAATGACCCTCATATAATGTACATTCAGTTA